GCTTTGTGTAATAATAAATAACTAACCGGAGATAACCGGTTATATATCTGTTCGAATTTTTTGCGCACTTGTGATGGAAAATAATAACGTCAAGAAGCAGTATAATATTTTTTTGTATATCCATTCGGAACACTTCGGCAATTAGCACAATAATCTCACCCATTCGGAACACCCGGGCATTTATTCCTTATCCGAATATTGATGGAAGGGTCCGGAAGATGCGATTGCATCCCATCGTACGCCGAAGTTTAACGGAAAGAGCCGAAAAATTATTACAAAACATCTCGTCTGCTATGATTATGACAGTTATTTACAAAGGAAAATTATAATTTATGGTCTTATAGGTGACCATTAGAGTAATCAGCCAGTCCGGCATTCTTTTCTTTTAACTCATCTAAGGAAACGTTAATTAAATTCATTAGGCGCAACTATATATACTCAACATCACTAATTCCGAGTCATCACTTATTTCACGGTAATGGAATATTTTCAAGAGACCAGTGTTAAAATTGGTCAGAATTGACATAATAAAATTATTTTATTCAAACACCCAAACAACAAAGTTTTTGTGCCTATAGATTTTTACGTAAAACAGAACAACATTTAACAAACTTCTGCAAAAGGCAACAATAGTCCATTAAATTTGTGCATTCGTCTGAAACAATCATCATTTTCTAAATGTTCTTGTTTGTTGAAAAAATGAATTTTGAGTTACAATGTAAAGATACTTTTAATATTTAAAATTATGCAAAATGACATGTAGAAATTGTAACTGAAACATGAAAAAACTGAAATTAAACACCATTACCGCGATTTACATGATGACATACTGTTTTCAAAATGGCCGACATATGGTCTACGTCTGGCTCATTTAAACTGATTTTGACTAACTATATTGTATTTTCCTTGTGTCATACGGCAGAAAATACCTATATAAAACAGCTTATGACAATTTTTGTACCATATGTTTCATGTGTTGTTTTCTTTCTTGCTTCAAAGCGTTAAGTACCGTGAACTAAGAGGACCAAGGTATACATGTAATTGACAAAAACGTATCCTTCTAAACAGAAAAGGTACATGTTTATACCAATGTCTATTTTAGTCATTATACCCATACTACGCTCAATATCCTAAATGGACGCTTTATATCATTAAAAAAATAGTGTTCATCATTCAATCCGGACTAAAGCATTCATCGTTTTTAGGGAAAAAATCAAAATAAGTACGAGCATTTTCTGAATTGCTTACAACGCAGACCATGATCAGACATCTGGGTTATTTGTTTATTTTTTTGTAATAATTGAATTCACAGGCTACTGTAGTACCCAATTTTTAAAAATAAATTTCGTTTCATGAAAATTCAAAGGGCCACCATAATCAGTTTATAATAGTTGTTGTATTGCATTAATTTGTCCATGAATTTAGAACGATATCAAAAGGTATGCGGCTCCATATAAAACGCCAGATCGAGCCAATCTGTGATCCGCTTTCCGTAATAAAGAACATGTTATATTGATAACTTCGAATAATTTGAGCCACGTCACGACAAAACCAACATAATGGGTTTGCGACCAGCATGGATCCAGACCAGCCTGCGCATCCGCGCAGTCTGATCAGGATCCATGCTGTTCGCTTACAAACCCTATAACAAGTAGCGAAACTGGTAGCGATCAGCATGGATCCTGATCAGACTGCGCGGAAGCGCAGGCTGGTCTGGATCCATGCTGGTCGCAAACACATTATGTTGGTATTGTCGTGACGCGGCTCATTTATTTCAACATCACAATCTATCATCAGATGATATATTAAGAAACTCATCGTGAAATAAATTTTATTTAGAAAAAGATCTTTATTGCAAAACTTCATTGCAAATGGGGCCTTTCAAAAGAAGTGTCATGTAATAATTCACTGTCCGATAATTTTCGAAATAACTCAGCATTCTTTCTTTCTTCATTAGCATAATTTAGCATAAGTTTACATGGTATAACAAAATCATAAATAAACTATATAAAATATACTTTTATAAAAAATCTCAACAGTAAACACAAGTTGTACTATACTTCTTGTGTATTATAGGCCTGAATTTCAGTGTACTTCATTGTACAGCTATTTATAAAATGTAGAATAGGCATTTCCTCTAGTGTACAATAGCCTGTATTTTCAGTGCACTATTGGAGTTATTTCCAGCTATTTATAAAAGTACAAAAGGCATTAATTACCTCTATCCTACAATGGGGTGTATTTTCAATGCCCTATTGGAGTTATTTCCAGCTATTTATAAAAGTACAAAAGGCATTAATTACTTCTAGTCTACAATGGACTGTATTTTCAGTGCACTATAGGAGTTATTTCCAGCTATTTATAAAAGTACAAAAGGCATTCTTATTACCTCTTGTCTACAATGGGCTGTATTTTCAGTGCACTATTGGAGTTATTTCCAGCTATTTATAAGAGTACAAGAGGCATTTTTATTACCTCTTGTCTACAATGGGATGTATTTTCAGTGCACTATAGGAGTTATTTCCAGCTATTTATAAAAGTACAAAAGGCATTTTTATTACCTCTTGTCTACAATGGAATGTATTTTCAGTGCACTATAGGAGTTATTTCCAGCTATTTATAAAAGTACAAAAGGCATTTTTATTACCTCTTGTCTACAATGGGCTGTATTTTCAGTGCACTATTGGAGTTATTTCCAGCTATTTATAAGAGTACAAGAGGCATTAATTACCTCTATTCTACAATGGACTGTATTTTCAGTGCACTATTGGAGTTATTTCCAGCTATTTATAAAAGTACAAAAGGCATTTGTTACCTCTAGTCTACAATGGGCTGTATTTTCAGTGCACTATTGGAGTTATTTCCAGCTACTTATAAAAGTACAAAGGCATTAATTACCTCTAGTCTACAATGGGCTGTATTTTCATTGCACTATTGGAGTTATTTCCAGCTATTTATAAAAGTACAAAAGGCATTTATTACCTCTAGTCTACAATGGGCTGTATTTTCAGTTAAGTATGGTTGTTATTTCCAGCTATTAATAAAAGTACAAAAGGCATTTATTACCTCTAGTCTACAATGGGTTGTATTTTCAGTGCACTATTGGAGTTATTTCCAGCTATTTATAAGAGTACAAGAGGCATTAATTACCTCTATTCTACAATGGACTGTATTTTCAGTGCACTATTGGAGTTATTTACAGCTATTTATAAAAGTACAAAAGGCATTTGTTACCTCTAGTCTACAATGGGATGTATTTTCAGTGCACTATTGGAGTTATTTCCAGCTACTTATAAAAGTACAAAAGGCATTAATTACCTCTAGTCTACAATGGGCTGTATTTTCATTGCACTATTGGAGTTATTTCCAGCTATTTATAAAAGTACAAAAGGCATTTATTACCTCTAGTCTACAATGGGCTGTTTTTTTTTCTCAGTTAAGTATGGTTGCTATTTCCAGCTATGAATAAAAGTACAAAAGGCATTTATTACCTCTAGTCTACAATGGGTTGTATTTTCAGTGCACTATTGGAGTTATTTCCTGCAATTTATAAAAGTACAAAAGGCATTAATTACCTCTAGTCTACAATGGGCTGTATTTTCATTGCACTATTGGAGTTATTTCCAGCTATTTATAAAAGTACAAAAGGCATTTATTACCTCTAGTCTACAATGGGTTGTTTTTTTTTTCTCAGTTAAGTATGGTTGCTATTTCCATCTATGAATAAAAGTACAAAAGGCATTTATTGCCTCTAGTCTACAATGGGTTAATTGTATTTTCAGTGTACTATTTCCAGCAATTTATAAAAGTACAAAAGGCATGGTGCAACGGGCTGTATTTTCTGTGCATTATTGGCGTTTTTACAGCTGCTTATCAAAGTAAAAAAGACATTAATTACATCTAGTGTTCAATGGGATGTATTTTCAGTGCAATTTTGGTGTTATTGCCATTTTACTGTGGTCGGAATTTCCATTGTTTTAATTGTACTTTGATATTGGGTTTCTCTTGAGATACTAGTCTATTATTATTCAATAGTTTTTGTAAAAACAAATCATTATTTAAAATATAAGAGGAATTCTTTAAATATTAGGAACAATTATTCTCTTGTTAATATATTAAGTCTTCAAGCCACTGGTTTTAATCTCTTTCTGTTTTATATGTATAATATTAACGAGTTTCTATGTAGTATGCTATGTTTTCAACATGACAAATGAATCACAAGTCCCGCCAATCGTATCTTCTCCGTCCTTTCCGTTAAACTTCGGCTAACATTTTCTCGGCCATTTTCGTCGAACTTCGGATATAATTGATAATAGCCGAGATTTTCCGATTGAAGGTATCGAGGTATTCCTCAACTGCATTCGCAACTTTTCTGATTATAATGAATATTTGTCGAGGTGTTCCAATTGCCTCTAGAGTAATAATGTGTTATAGATAGTAATGATAGTAATAAAATGAAAAACACTTTCCGGGAGCTAAATTTAAACTTCCGTTTATCATAATTGCTACATGGTATGTGCTCTTAAGTAGATGGATATTGATGCAATCTTGACATTATGTTTAAAATACATCATATGTTAATGTTTTTTTCTAGTTTCAACTAAGCGACACAGCTCGTGTTATTTTGTACACGTGCGGCGTACTCCAGCGTTCTATGGGAAATGTCATTTCCTGTATATTATGGGTACTATTTCTAGTGTACTAAGAACATTGATTTTTAAGTTACTTACAATATTATCTCAATGCACTAAAATCATTATTTCTAGTGTACTGATGCACTGATGTACTTTGGCCATTTGTTCCCAGTGTTATTTGTGCATTGCTTCCATTGAAGCGTGTCATTTTTTCCCAAGTGTACTTTGTACATTATTTCCAATGTACAATAGCCAAATTTCTCGAATGTTCTTTGTAAATTATTTCCCCTTGTTTGATTATAATTATGATTATATATATAAATTATATATATATATATACTTGTATAAATGAGTTGAATCTCTTACCTTAATAATAGTGCAGTGCTTTCAAGTTTACCATATAACATCCGTCCTAGAATACCAGATTCACTCCAATTATGATTTTTGTTTGTTTATATTTTTCTTTCATATTTTTGTCACTTCCTTTTAAGTTACTGATTTACTTTCCTGGGTTTTCATGAATCATTTTAAGTATGCTACTTGTATATTGGATTGATATATCCATGTATCAATCAATAAATTCACAGACATGTGTTAATATTTATATCGGAAAAACGTATATACATAACACTGTTATTCGATATTCAGCATGCGGATATTTTTTTCTATAACAGTGAATATAACTTTGTATTCGTTTTAAAGTCATTTGCATGAATGAGTATAGTAAAAAATGTTATTTGGAGCACAACAGTCTGTGACGGTATCGACCAAGAGATGCTTAGTCATGCGTATCGAATTAGGTTAATGTATAGCGCAGCTTTCAAAGCGGTGGCTCGATTGTACAAGTACTGATAGGTTTTCCAATTGTGCAAAAAATAAAATTATAAAGGGAAGTAATCATGTTACTTTCCGAGTCCAAATGTTGCAGAAAAAATCTCGGATGATTTACAACTTCAAGTTTGATTTTTGATTTCTACATGTGATTTTGCGATGATGTGAACATGTGATGATAGTCTGGGACCTATGGTGGCTGATTTGGAACACTTTTGTGCGTCGTGTTGTCGCTAGTGACAGCACGACAAAGCGCCAGACGGCGTGTTGTCGGACTTTCGTCTCGTCGTCTAGTCGCTAGCGATGCACGTCGTGCAGCTTGTTGTCGCGATGTTACATTGTCGCTCGGCTCAAATTGAAGGATTGGCTATTTGTGTATATTATGATGGCTGATTTGTATGGTATGGTCCGTAGGTTCCAGATTATACGACGAGTACCTCAAGGTCGATCCTAACAAACAAGCAGACAACATTTTAGCAGACGACAATTTTCCTAGCATGCAAATGGTAAAAATTCCAAAAAGTCGATATTGATATTTTTCATTGTATATATTTTGATTTATTCTGTGTATCGGAATAAAGTTTGTTTTTTTCATCTTTTTGAATTGAAATTTGAACTCTCAAGAAGGATTATCCTTATTATGTGCCTCGTTATATTTATTTCTTTTCAGATGATTACCTAAATTGTATTTATTATTTATATCAGATAAACAAATATAATACCACATAATGTGAGAGATTTACATTCGAATAATACTTTCACGTATTTGAATGGTTTGTGTATAATTGGGAATTTGAGGCGTACAATGAAATGTTTCAACAGGTCAATGTCAAAGGTATTGGTAAAATAAACGCTCTTTTAATCTGAGAGTTATGGTGACTTCGTGACTTTCGTCCCGCGACCCCGCCAAGCGAAAAGTCGAGAATTTACAAGTTAAAATGGCGGGGTCGTGGAGCGAAAACACGCTAATTAGCGGGGGCGCGCGGCGAAGTTTAATAAATAAAACTTCGCCCCGCGAGGGCGCGGAGCGAGAATTAAGAAATAAAACGGCGGGGGCGCGGGGCGAAGTTTAATGAAATAAAACTTCGCCCCGCGCCCCCGCTTATTAGCGTGTTTTCGTCCCGCGACCCCGCCAAGCGAAAAGTCGAGAATTAACAAATTAAAATGGCGGGGCGCGCGGGGCGAAAACACGAATGGCACAAATCAGCCACCATAGAGAGTAGATATTTAAGTTGACTGGTTATTATAGATTCTATCATTTGATACATACGAAGGGTTTATATATTTCTTTTACTGTTCTCAATCTATGTTTATTATAGGCCTATCTGTCAATGAAAAACAAATCAGTTATACGGCCATATAACCGGTTAAAATCTTATTAGTAAGCCGTGTATATAGACAATACAAACGTCAAGATTATGCATTGAAAATCGACTTAGTGGCGTTAGCCGTATGCAATGAGTAATGTTCTTAGTGGCGTTAGCCGTATGCAATGAGTAATGTTCTTAGTGACGTTAGCCGTATGCAATGAGTAATGTTCTTAGTGGCGTTAGCCGTATGCAATGAGTAATATTCTTAGTGGCGTTAGCAGTATGCAATGAGTAATATTCTTAGTGGCGTTAGCCGTATGCAATGAGTAATATTCTTAGTGGAGTTAGCCGTATGCAATGAGTAATGTTCTTAGTGACGTTAACCGTATGCAATGAGTAATGTTCTTAGTGACGTTAGTAGTATGCAATAAGTAATGTTCTTAGTGGCATTAGCCGTATGCAATGAGTAATGTTCTTAGTGACGTTAGCCGTATGCAATGAGCAATGTTCTCGGTGGCGTTAGCTGTATGCAATGAGTAATGTTCTTAGTAGCGTTAGCCGTATGCAATGAGTAATGTTCTTAGTGACGTTAGCCGTATGCAATGAGTAATGTTCTTAGTGGCGTTAGCAGTATGCAATGAGTAATGCTCTTAGTAGCGTTAGCCGTATGCAATGAGTAATGTTCTTTGTGACGTTAGCCGTATGCAATGAGTAATGTTCTTAGTGGCGTTAGCCGTATGCAATGAGTAATGTTCTTAGTGGCGTTAGCCGTATGCAATGAGTAATGTTCTTAGTGGCGTTAGCCGTATGCAATGAATAATGTTCTTAGTGACGTTAACCGTATGCAATGAGTAATGTTCTAAGTGGCGTTAGCCGTATGCAATGAGTAATGTTCTTAGTGGCGTTAGCCGTATGCAGTGAGTAATGTTCTTAGTGACGTGAGCCGTATGCAATGAGTAATATTCTAAGTGGCGTTAGCAGTATGCAACGAGTAATATTCTTAGTGGCGTTAGCAGAATGCAACGAGTAATATTCCTAGTGGCGTTAGCCGTATGTAATTAGTAATGTTCTTAGTGGCGTTAGCCGTATGCACTGAGTAATATTCTTAGTGGCGTTAGCCGTATGCAATGTGTAATGTTCTTAGTGGCGTTGCCGTATGCACTGAGTAATGTTCTTAGTGGCGTTAGCCGTATGCAATGGGTAATGTTCTTAGTGGCGTTAGCCGTATGCAATGAGTAATGTTCTTAGTGACGTTAGCCATATGCAATGAGTTATATTCTTAGTGGGCAATGTGCCGTATGCAATTGATAATATCCCGAGTGGCATAAGCCGTATGTAATGGGCAATGTTCCTAGCGTCATTATCCGTATGCAATGAGTAAATATCCCAGTTGCGTGTGAAGTATGCAGTGAGAAATTGTCTTAATGTCGTAAGATGTTGAATTGAGTAATGTTCCAAGTGGCGTGAGTAGTTTGTAGTGAATAATATTCCCAGTGACTTAAGTAGTAAGTAATGTTGCAATGTTGCTAGTAGCGTCAGAAGAATATAAGATAAGTGAGTTAAGTACCTTGTAACGTGAGTACAACGCCGGTGGCATTTATAGAAAGCAGTGAGTGATGTTGCTAGTGTCTTGAGTCGAATGCAATACAATGCCCTGACTTCTGTGCGTTAGGTAATCCAAGCATAAAGCGCGTATTTTATTACTATGCCGTAACTAGTGTTCAAGCTGAAACTAGTGTTCATGTCGTGAATGTGAAAGACACGCATCAGGCACAACCTATGAAAGTGATTGTGCGACCACTACTCGTATCAGTCATAGTTACGTCATATCTGCGAATAGAGGTAAGAAATTGCCGTTATCTGAATAGACAATAGGAAGACTTGTCTATATTTTTCTCAGCTAACGGCTAAGAAAAAATAAAGATTATACATGTATCTTACCAAACTCTATACTATTGGTCGACCAAATGTGATATAAATGAACTGTCAGCTAGACAAGTCCATTTAAAAGTAAAGCGCTCTGCATTATAAGGGGGATAACTGTGACAAATATGGTCGCCAACATTATCCTGATTTGTCCCCCTTTAGTTATTATGTGACAAAATGATTCACATTCGCGAAAATGAAATAAATACCGAATATGAATATTATTTTCATGAAATTTTGACGTAGTGTCAAATATTTACACTATAATTAATATATACCTTAGTAAATATTTGTTACTTGAAAAAATAAAGTAGAAGTAGTATTTTATAAGCGTTGTTTTTTATTATATACATGTATAAAGTATCAAAATAATGCTCATATTTAGTATTGTTGTCATTCTTGTTTTTTTCTGGTCACGATAATATGCAACCAATGCATTTAATTTCATTCAATGACATAATGCAAGTAAATAATAATAGTCTTTGTTTGAATAACTTTTTCAGACAAAGTTCATTTATATCTATTTAAAATTTATATGAGCCGTGTCACGACAAAACCAACATAATGGGTTTGCGACCAGCATGGATCCAGACCAGGCTGCGCATCCGCGCAGTCTGATCAGGATCCATGCTGTTCGCTATCAGTTTCTCTACTTGTTATAGAGTATGTAAGCGAACAGCATGGATCCTGATCAGACTGCGCGGATGCGCAGGCTGGTCTGGATCCATGCTGGTCGCAAACGCACTATGTTGGTTTTGTCATGACGCGGCTCATATTCGGTATCCTCGTTCTTATTCACGAATCTCAATTCAATCTTTACAATATATCAAGTCACAATAACAAAAGTATATACTTTTCATGAGTATCAAAAATCTTAATATACGCTGGTTTGAAAAAGAAAAACAAAGTTCAACATTTATATAATTATGAATACTCTTAATGTAAAATCACATCTGCAATAAGTATATGTTTTTAAATTATTTTTTTTTATGAGTTATTTGAATATTATATGTCCCGTTAAGTCTTTTATTGGATATGTTGTTATCGCATGCTGCAGTAATTTGTCAACTGTTTTTTTTTCTTTCTTCATAATTGACTGTTATATAGATCATCCTCGATAAACTATCATTTATTTTAGGTTTTTATTTGTTTTGGGTTTTTTCCGTTTAATATGTATATGTTAGTGTTCATCCGTGCTGTTCTACAGAAATTAGAAACTTCGACGGGAGCGATAGCGACAGGAGAATGTTTCTAATTTCTGTAGAACAGCACGGATGAATACTAACATATTTAGTGTCAAGCTTTATTTGGCCTCATTATCATTCACTTAAAATTAAGCGCTGAAAGCACCGAATGCGACGGCTTAACTTAGGCAAACTCCTCACAGTGATTACCCACAGTGATTACCTCCCTTTACAGATTGTACTGATAAGGGGAGATCACTGCGTAGGAGATTGTAACTTAGGCTGGTATGATAAAAATCCAGTGCCTATGGATGTTGTTAACTAAAATCTTAAAACGTTTCTCGTCCTTTCAGACAATAACGACATGTTCAAACATTACATGTATATGCTGAAAAATGGCTAATATCTTTAAATCAGCTTATAAACATTTCATGTTTTCTTGCTGTGTCAATTTTGATTGTTAATTTAATTGACGAACGATAACTGTAGCCTTATTCATTCATAACAACGGATCCCAAAAGAATGCTATTCTGAAAAATCCAATTCACAAGCTTAATATTTTGATACGATGAAGCCTTGTTTGCTAAGTTGCTTAATATTGCTTTATTTCATTGTATTTTCATACGCAAACCTTAGAGTGCAAAGTTCTGTTCGTTTGACATGAATTTTCAAATTTATTAATAAAATCAACTCTTCAAAAGTATTTTAAATCATTGTAATTATAGCGTCTTTAAACACGGTATGTTTAAATATGTGCTGGGATTGACAAATGTATACAATTTATTTGGATTTTAACGCATTTTTGAGCTCCAACCCCCAAGTGTATGTGATACAAGATACAAGAAACTTTATTTTATGTGCCTGACATTGGCATACATATATACATTTGAAGTTTGAGGTTTTTATTTATTTTCTATGGTTTGGGGTCCTCCTGTGCTCCTTTCCATTGGCTCTTGTTACTGGGTCTGGTGGGGGTTGCGTTCATTGAACGCCGCCTTTCCTTGTTGATCTTGTTTATCATATTTTACAAGGATAATGGCGTACCGTGTTTTACCGGAGACCGGAGTTTGTCGATTAGTGTACACGGAAATAGAAAGCATGCGAAATGTGAAATGTCAAACTAAGTTATTGTCAAATTTCATCAAACAAACATTCCAGTTTACCACAAAGTATTTTTCTTTAGGTAGAATTAACTGTTCGTTAATGGAGGGAATCCAAGCTGGCAAGAAAGCTGCAGCCATAGAGGCTGTCAACAACCATATATCGGTAAATATTCTACTTTCATTTTAAACTGTGAAATACTATTAAATTTTATGTTTGATATTTTATTTGAAATTGTATCAAATAACTGATATTCGGAATAAGATAAAAAAAGCGTATAAAAAGTAACATTAGAGGTGTGAATTTAATGTGTAAATATTACTACGATTATTTATTATGATACCAGCAATATTGTACATGTATATACCAATGGATCAGCGCCTCCCTGTATTTCAGGACGATATGCTTAATGCACCACATAAGAAAAAGAATATGAAGTCAAACTTTCGCAAAAGATTGTTTAAAAAAAGCACATTGGAGACCATGACTGAAGAGATTATGGAAATATTACCCGGGTTCCTGCAAAAACTACACCATGAAAATTTATGTTATGACTTTTGCAACTTTAATCAAATTAGTATGCAATAAGAAATTCCCATTAACAAATATTTCATTCCTTTTGTTTCTCGATGTTGTTAGATGGTATAGTCTGCCAAGAACTTCAATCTTTCCATGTGGGGTTTATCAGTTTGAATAAGTTCGAAAAAGAAAAGACATCCTTATCTATATATCTATACCATTGCACTTATCTAACTGGTAGTATTAACACAGATCAGACCTTCAGAAATTTTCCATAACATAACGTATGATATAACAGCAACATAACATAACAGCAAGTAAACAATCTTTCATCAAATAAAACATATTTGCAAGAAGATTGTATAATTCAAAAGAAGACGGTGCCAGTATTTATCGGTCTAACGGAAAAAGAATGCGGGGTTTGAATTCAGTGTTGTACGGTGCTCCAATATTCTGGTCAGTAGGCCTTTTTTCAACATATATTCTCTGAAATTTACGATAGAAACACACAATTTTGTATGGAACTTGAACTTAGGGTTAACCATAATAAATATACGAGCTCGTTAGGTCATAGAACAAAGACATCGTCGTTATAACACATGTTTTTGTGACAAATACGAGTCATGTTGAGGTACACATGATCTTTTGTAAACACTATTTCTTCGAAGTATGTGTTTTTTTGTGAATTGTATTGTGCTAGATTAACGATAAATTGTCTCAAAAATTCGATGGAATACTTAAACAATTGGAATAATCTTGCAATGTCCAGCAGTAAGATATTTTGTAACCTATTACCTGGAATTTGTTTATCCCGCCATTAATATTTTGTCCAGAAATATACGGTGTCTCGGTCAGAAGGATAATATTTTGACGTTGCGCGGAAAAGTTGTGGTAATCGCCCTATCACCGTGTTACAAGTCAAGTCAAGTCAAGTAAATTTTATTTATAAGTCGGATACATCAACAATAAACATAAGCTCTGATGAGCTTTTTACACCGACTACAATAATATAAAACACATGTTTAAGATATGATAAATGACAAAAATGGTTATGATAAAATAAGACAAATAGCATTGCATTAACAAATAGAGTATACAAACAGCACTGTACTAGCATTCATCAATAGCATACAAAAGTAAGAGGTAATACATATTAGATCTAATAAAAAAAAAACCATTAATATACATACTAAAAGTTAAGATCACACATCACAGCTTATATAAGACACAAAAACATTTGAGCAGAGGAACATCAGCCATACATACACACAATAAAATGCATAGACAGACCAACTTATAAAAAGAGCAAATTATATATAAATAAATAAAACATGGTTAGGACTAAGCAATAGAATGACAAGGTTAAAATATGCATAATGAACATCAATCCTGACATTAGCATACACACAAACATTCAAGTTATACATGTATATAAAAGATGATACATAGCACATAAAATAGGAATAAATCTATTACAATAAAAGCACACAAAAGCATAGCACTTAAAAATAGAAATAAATCTATCACATTAAAAGCACACAAAAGCAGCTCATATCAAGCACAGTGATAAAACAAATGCAAAGCAAAAGTAACTAAAAACTTGAAACATCCAGCATGTCGCTGCCAACATTTTGTTTTTTTTTTCTTTTTTTTTGATGATGCACATGCGTTATGTGGTATTGCATGAAGTACAGGAGCAGTTCTCCCCTTGGCAAGTATTTATCAGTGATCTAAAATGGTTAAAAGATGAAGTTTGTCTAAAATTATCTGGAAGTTGATTCCAAAGTTTGGCAGCGGCATACCGGAAAGATTTCTTACCATATCTGTCAGTTCTTGGTAAAGGTACCTCAACAATATCGGTGTGTCTAAAATTATATTTTGAATGTTTAAGATGTAGTAAATCATTTAAATAAACAGGAGACATATCATTTAGAACTTTGTACGTTTCTAAAGCAATTGCTCTTAATCTCCTAACTTTCAAAGAAATAAGGCCAGACTTCTCAAGTAGTTGATCATAGTTACTGTTAAAATCATCATAAATAAATCTCAAAGCTCTTTCCTGAATTTTTTCTGTTTTCCTAGTGTTTGATTCATTGGTAAAATGCCAAGTAAGAGGACAATAATTAAAGTTTGACATGACAAAAGAGTAGTATATTGTGAGTCTGCTTAACCTATTAAGATGTTTACCAATTCTCTTTAGTACATTCAGTTGTTTAGAGGCTTTCCTACATATATTTGACACATGTGAATTAAAATTTAACATAAAATCTAAGTTTACACCAAGCAGCTTTACTTCATCATCACATGATATTTCTATATTTTTGAATTTAAAATTAATTTTCTGCTGGCGGGTTTTCTTCCCAAGAGCTATTGCCTGGAACTTCTCAGGGTTAGCCTTCATTTGATTTTTAGCTCGACTATTCGCAGAATAATCGAGCTAATGCAGTCACCCATTTGTCGGCGTCGGCGTCCCTGTGGTTAAGTTTTTGTATGTAAGCTGGTATCTCCATAACTACTGAAGGGAATGGATTGAAACTTCACACACTTGTTCTCTGTGATTATCTAAGATGATTGGCACAAGTCCCATAACTCTGATTTGCTTTTTTTCATAATTATGCCCCTTTTTCGACTTAGAAATTCTTGGTTAAGTTTTTGTATGTAAGCTGGTATCTCCATAACTACTGAAGGGAATGGATTGAAACTTCACACACTTGTTCTCTGTGATTATCTAAGATGATTGGCACAAGTCCCATAACTCTGATTTGCTTTTTTACATAATTATGCCCCTTTTTCGACTTAGAAATTCTTGGTTAAGTTTTTGCGTGTAAGCTGGTATCTCCATAACTACTGAAGGGAATGGATTGAAACTTCACACACTTGTTCTCTGTGATTATCTAAGATGATTGGCACAAGTCCCATAACTCTGATTTGCTTTTTTACATAATTATGCCCCTTTTTCGACTTAGAAATTCTTGGTTAAGTTTTTGCGTGTAAGCTGGTATCTCCATAACTACTGAAGGGAATGGATTGAAACTTCACACACTTGTTCTCTGTGATTATCTAAGATGATTGGCACAAGTCCCATAACTCTGATTTGCTTTTTAACATAATTATGCCCCTTTTTCGACTTAGAAATTCTTGGTTAAGTTTTTGCATGTAAGCTGGTATCTCCATAACTACTGAAGGGAATGGATTGAAACTTCACACACTTGTTCTCTGTGATTATCTAAGATGATTGGCACAAGTCCCATAACTCTGATTTGCTTTTTAACATAATTATGCCCCTTTTTCGACTTAGAAATTCTTGGTTAAGTTTTTGCATGTAAGCTGGTATCTCCATAACTACTGAAGGGAATGGATTGAAACTTCACACACTTGTTCTCTGTGATTATCTAAGATGATTGGCACAAGTCCCATAACTCTGATTGCTTTTTAACATAATTATGCCCCTTTTTCGACTCATGAATTCTTGGTTAAGTTTTTGCATGTAAGCTTGTCTCTCCATATCTACTGAAGGGAATGTATTGAAACTTGAAGAGTTTGTACCTTTTCGGACAATTTTATGTATTCATATAGGTAAGCATTATTATACTCAATGAAACACCCTTGTGACAAATTTTCGAATAGTCGAGCGTTACTATCCTCCGACAGTTCTTGTTTGAGAACCAGTCTATCAAAGTTAAACTATCTTTTTCTAAAGTGCTAACCAAGTCTGTTTTACAAGTGCTTGAGTAAGAAAGAGTGTTATCATCCGCATAATTATACAGTTGACTTTTATTTATGAAAAGGAAAATGTCGTTTATAAAAATATTAAACAAAATTGGGCCAAGTATTGAGCCTTGTGGGACGCCTTTAATTATGTTTTGATAATCACTACATATATTTCCTATCTTTACACATTGTTGCCTATTAGACAGATAACTTTTAATAAGATTGAGTGATTGTTCAGACATACCATAAAATTTCATTTTAAGTAATAATAATAATAATAATAATTCGAACATACCCTGGGGCTTAATTGGCTTAATTTACTGGGGCCAAAGACACTGAGGTATGGGAATTTCACATTTTTTTAAATAACAATACACATGTTTTGCAAAAATAGCAAATTACAATAAAATATTAATTGTTAAAGGTCTCCTACTTTAGGGAGGTAAAATATGAGATTGGGCTATTGTATATTACGTAAGATATAATATGTAATAACATCAAGGTATTAACTGAAAATGATGGCAAAATTGCACCAATGAAGTTGGAAAATACCAACCACTTTAGGAATATGCTCAACACACAAGAAGTTGAAATTTTGTGACCCTTTTTAACTGGTAATAAAATCCTGGATCTGCACCTGACAGTTCTCATTTTCTTTGTTTATAATATTCTTCTCACAAGCTTTAACAAAGCATTTATTGGTATATAAGTTAACATTTATGTTTTCTATGTGTTAACAGGACAATCAGGTGATAGGAATAGGGAGTGGAACCACCGTGGTTAGTGCTGTAGAAAGAATAGGTAAATATCTTTCTTTGTTAGTCACATATTCATTAAGTCTTGTTAATTTGACCGTAATGCAATCTCATTAAAATCATATCCTAACTGATGCTCAACTATCTTTCGTGTAAAGAATAGGCATGATCAAGAAATGGAGCTCAAACAATTATCTGATTTTGATGAGATGGACATATTATTGGTACAGCCCATTTTAGGATTTTATGTTTTGATGGCATTTTCCAGTTTTGACAGATGAAAGTTCCTTATGGCCGATGATTTATACAGGTTCAAGAGGCACTAAATGTTATGTTTTAAGTCAGTACCAGATATTATATACAAGACTAACATACATAACCAAACCTTACACAAATGTATATTTTGATGAGATTGAGTTTGATATATGTCATGTTCTAGAACTGTCTGGTACTTAGGATAAAAGAGGGTCCCAGGTTGGAGTCTTTGTCTTGCTGGACAGTTTCTCATCCTAATGACTAATGAGTGAACAGTTCTAGGTGGTGATATATACCCTACCAGCAAGTTGGTCATCTGGAATGATATAATATCACTTTGGTGTCCAGGTCTAGTGCTTAAAATAATGGCAAAATAGGCATCTGAGGTCTTCCTCTGCCAGTAAAACAGAAAAATTGCCACATCACATTTGCACAGACAGTTTGACTGTAAATCTACCAGAACATACTACTGCCAAAACTTAATGAGGTTATGGCTCCTTAAGGAAATCATAGATTTCTAAAACCATAAACAAATCTTTTTTGATAAAATGTCACAAAATATGATAATGTGACAACATGCGATAATGTGGCATGATAATGTGACAAAATATGATAATGTGACAAAGTATGATAATAATTATAGTGGCAAAATATGATAATGTGACAAAGTATGATAATAATTATAGTGGCAAAATATGATAATGTGACAAAGTATGATAATAATTATAGTGGCAAAATATGATAATGTGACAAAGTTTGATAATAATTATAGTGGCAAAATATGATAATAATCATAGTGGCAAAATATGATAATGTGACAAAGTATGATAATAATCATAGTGGCAAAATATGATAATGTGACAAAGTATGATAATAATCATAGTGGCAAATATGATAATGTGACAAAGTATGATAATAATCATAGTGGCAAAATATAATAATGTGACAAAGTATGATAATAATCATAGTGGCAAAATATGATAATGTGACAAAGTATGATAATAATCATAGTGGCAAAATATGATAATGTGACAAAGTATGATAATAATCATAGTGGCAAAATACGATAATGTGACAAAATAGACTTGATAGTGTTATTACTATCATTTCATCAAGTTTGAAGAGGAAAAAGAAAATGTTGACATGTTTAACATTTAGATATAAATAGTTTAACAACATTTCCTAAATGGCAAAAGTAGATAGACATTAACACTTTTCAACTAAATACCGTATACAGTATTTGAAGTATTGGAAGTTTTTTTTTTTATCTTAAGGAATGTTGACAAATTGATTAAAAAGTGATAAGTTTACAATGTAAATACATATGTATTGTATTATATATCAATTTATTTGCAGCACAGAGAGCAAAAGAGGAAAATTTGAAGCTTATTTGTATACCTACCTCTTTCCAGGTCAGTATCTTATGTTTAAGATATTTATTTTTATTTATTTAGGCCAAATTTGGTTAATTATTTGTTTATGGAACCCCGCAGCCAGACTGATAGTTTGTTGATTAATTTGACAGTTTATGAAAATATGCAAGGAGTAATTAAAGAGACTTATTACACTTTTATACTTTATTTAAACAAAAAAACCCCCAAACAATAGAATATTCAGTTAGTAACCTTTTCAAGCAACTGTAACAGCTGTAGATATGGCTTTTACTTAGCCTCTACACGGAGGAGAGATGCTTGTGTCCCTGATTTCCAACCACTTCCCCTGAAGACTATTTGTTCGAATCCTAACTAGCCTACAAAAGACTTAGTATTTCTACATGTGAGGAAGGTGTCTAGCTAGCTTATGGAAGTTTGGTGGTTCTACTAAGATGCTTGCCATAGATGTGTATTAAATGACATAATAATATTAAAGATGTGACGGAAAACCCAATAAAAAATATTTTTTTTTAAGATTAAGTGTGTTCATTTTGGAAGGCATGAAGTCATTTATTATGAAGCCATTTAATAATTATGATTTATTGTCAATTTATGTATTAAAGATTACAGTTATCACTTAATCATCATATATTTTCATTATATTTTTGTTTTGGTCATGCTAATTTTACAAAATATATTACTTTTTATCACAAAACATAATTTTATATTGTAAGAATATATAGTCGTTTGTGTTCAATTTCAGGCCAAACAGTTGATTGTTGATCATGGATTGGTTCTTGGCACTTTAGAGCAATATCCTAAGGTGTAGTATACTAAATAGTATAGTGTGGGGATGGAGGCGGGGTAGGGGTGGGTGGTGGTTGTAAGTAGATTACAGAACCAGGTACATTTATTTCAAAAATATCATGTCATGTTTAAATACAATGTAGTGTACAGAAGACTTTTTAATATTTTTGTCATAAATAATATTTTATGCCAACACAATATTACTTTTGTCCCTGTACCACTAATTTTAACATCTGGAACATTATAACAAACATTATTCAGAAATGTAGCTGAATGCATAAACAATTAAAAGATAACTGCCAAGGACTGAGAAAAATGTGCAGCCTGACCAGGACTCTAGCCCTCAGAATACGCGTTTTTATACCCAACCAGTCAAGCTTTCCGGTAAAACATCTTCTCTCCTTAATAGATAACAGTTCTAAATTATGACCTATTCCTCAGCTGTTTTGAAATTTGTCCTCGAATTTCTCAGGGTTACATGGCAATTTGAATTTAACTCTTAGCTGTATGAAATCACAGTCCCCCATGGCGTCAACGTCACAGCCTGACTGAGAGTGTATACTTGGGACTCTTGGAATACTGTTCTGCAGCTGGACCAACTGAGCTGAACATGCTTAAACAAGAGGGGACTGCAATATTTTCAATTTGGCCGTTAAAGGTTCTTTAGGGTACATTTTTCTCAATTTTAAAATTTTACTTACTTGTTTGTGAACGTTTTATGTCTAGAGTGGTTTAAAAAGATATATGAGCCGCGTCACGACAAAACCAACATAATGGGTTTGCGACCAGCATGGATCCAGACCAGCCTGGGCATTCGCGCCGTCTGATCAGGATCCATGCTGTTCACTTACCAACCCTATTACAAGTAGAGAAACTGATATCAAACAGCATGGATCCTGATCAGACTGCGCAGATACGCATGCTGGTCTGGATCCATGCTGGTCACAAACACATTATGTTGGTTTTGTCCTGATGCGGCTTATATATCTTAAATATTTTATACAGTTAGATGCAGCTATTGATGGAGCAGATGAAGTGGATGCCAACTTGGTGTGTATAAAGGGCGGAGGTGGATGTCTAACTCAGGAGAAAATTGTAGCTAACTGTGCGAAATCCTTGATCATAATTGCCGATTCAAGGTTTGTTAATATAAATATACTTCAACATTAAATGAATAAATAATTGGTAAGTAAGTCTTGATTCTGAATTTAATTTAGGTTAATTAAATAGTGATCAGTGAAGATGATTCAAAAGGAGTTGATAAGGAACTGTCTTAGGGCAAAATTTTGAAGAAAGTATGTGGTGGCTTGGTTGAGTGGTTAACCCTGAGAAAGCTGTAGTTTCCTTAAGCATGATTTTCTACATCTATCGCTAAGTATTGGTTGGTTCAAGGAACAAATTCAAGAGTGTTTGATTGATATTGCTTCCTTCACACTCAAACTTATCAATTCTTTATAAATTCAGGTAGTCTCTACTCGCTCCTGGTGAAAATGAGAGATTAAACTATGATTAATAGGCGAGCAGTTAAGGTTGTTAACTTCAAACCACTTGCCTCTTACCGCTGTAAGTTCGAGCTGCACATCTGATTCTTTATGTGAGAAAACTATCTAGCTAGCTTACAGAATATGAGCCGCGTCACGACAAAACCAACATAATGGTTTTTCGACCAGCATGGATCCAGACCAGCCTGCGCATCCGCGCAGTCTGATCAGGATCCATGCTGTTCGCTTACCAACCCTATTACAAGTAGAGAAACTGATAGCGAACAGCATGGATCCTGATCAGACTGCGCGGATGCGCAGGCTGGTCTGGATCCATGCTGGTCGCAAACGCTCTATGTTGGTTTTGTCATGACGCGGCTCATATCAGTTGCTCTACTCATACTGTAAAGAGGGACACTTGAGGTCTTCCTCCTCCAGTAAAGCAGGACTGTTGCTGTATGACTTTTACTTTGTTGGTGCAATGTAAAACCCAACCAAAAAAAATGCATGATGGGATACCAGAGGTCTTCCTCTACCATTAGCATGGGAAAGTAGCAATATAACCTTAATAGTCATGGTTTGACTTAAAACTAAATAAACACTTTTCTCAAAAATGTTATACCTGTACTCTATAAGGATTTTTGAAACTGACATATATTTATACCCCTTATGGCTGAGTGGTTGATGTTTTGACATCAAACTGCTTGCCTTCACCACTGAAGATACCAGCCAGCGTACGGAATGCCGGTGGTCCTACTCATGTGCCTGTTTGTGTCTGAAATAATTCTTAGAAAGGTACCTGAGGTCCTCTACCAGTAAGGCTTGAAAGTCGCCAGTTGACCTATACTGTGTTGATGCGACTAAATACCCAACAGAAAATATCAACATACATTAACACACAATATGATTATAATTTGTCAGAAAAAATGTGGAAACTTTGGGAACAACTTGGAAACAGGGCATTCCATTAGAGGTGATAGACATTGCATACAGACCTATACAGCTGCAGATTGTGGAGCTACTTGGTGGATCAGCTCAGCTTAGAATGGGCAAAAGTAAAATGGTAAATTTAAACTAATATTTGAAAATATTTTTGATTTTCAAGCAGAATTATTAGGTAGTTATACAGATGAATAGAATATTGAAAGGAGAATGTATTCAGCTTAATATGTCAGTTATTTTGACCATGGGGTTGACACAAATTTATTCATAATTTAAACATATGAAATGAAAGCTTGGGATAGAGGTATTTTCTTTGTGACAATAGATCTTGGACATTGAGTCAGAAATCATGTGAAATTAGTAGTCTGTCACTTAGGGAGAAATTGATAATTATTAGTTTATTATCCAGGAAAACTGGTAGGCCAACAAGATACGACTTTCATGGTTTAGAACTGTTCAATAATTATGGTGAGGAAACTAAATAGCAGACTGACCAGGGCTCAAACCTGGGACCATTGAATACTGTTCCTATGCTTTATTGACAGAGCAATCTGGTCACTGACACACTATCTCACTTAACCCATTACCAGATATATACGCCTTTCTACGCCTTTTTCACCCCCCCCCCTTTTTTGCTTTCTCAAATGGTGAAAAAATGCCTTATTTAGGCCCCCAAACACTTGTTTTTGTTTGAGAAATGTTGTTAAAAAATGTGACCACTTTTTCGGCACCATCCCCCATCCAAAAGATACATCAGGGGGTTGCCAGAAGGGGGATGTGCCCCATTCTGTTTGGGGGGTTTGAAGGGGGGCGGTAGTCCCCCTCATCACCAAGAAAATTTTGGCCTTGTGAGAGGCTAAGAATGACCCCAGGTCGATCATAAGGTAACGTGTAACCAATGCTGAAATGAAAAAAATTTCGTAACAGTTTTGTCAACAACTACGTATCACAGCCTCTTGATATTTGGTATACAGCATTAACACATGGTCCCATACCGTGGGATTCGATTTCAGGTCTGTCGCTCATCCACTTCCTGTTTATCCACTTAGTTGAATTAGTTAGATTTTTCGACATTAATGGTCAATGGTAGGAAATTTTCGTAACAGTTTTCTCAGCAACTACTTATCACAGCCTCTTGATATTTGGCATACAGCATTGACACATGGTCCCATACCGTGGGATTCAATTTCAGGTCTGTCGCTCATCCACTTCCTGTTTATCCACTTAGTTAAATTAGTTAGATTTTTTGACATTAATGGTCAATGGTAGGAAATTTTTGTAACAGTTTTCTCAGCAACTACTTATCACAGCCTCTTGATATTTGGCATACAGCATTGACACATGGTCCCATACCGTGGGATTGGATTTCAGGTCTGTCGCTCATCCACTTCCTGTTTATCCACTTAGTTAAATTAGTTAGATTTTTCAACATCAATGGTAGGAAATTTTCGTAACAGTTTTCTCAGCAACTACTTATCACAGCCTCTTGATATTTGGCATACAGCATTGATACATGGTCCCATACTGTGGGATTTGATTTCAGGTCTGTCGCTCATCCACTTCCTGTTTATCCACTTAGTTAAATTAGTTAGATTTTTCGACATTAATGGTCAATGGTAGGAAATTTTCGTAACAGTTTTCTCAGCAACTACTTATCACAGCCTCTTGATATTTGGCATACAGCATTGACACATGGTCCCATACTGATGGTTTTGATTTCAGGTCTGTCGCTCATCCACTTCCTGTTTATCCACTTAGTTAAATTAGTTAGATTTTTCGACATTAATGGTCAATGGTAGGAAATTTTCGTAACAGTTTTCTCAGCAACTACTTATCACAGCCTCTTGATATTTGGCATGCAGCATTGACACATGGTCCCATACTTTTGGATTTGATTTCAAGTCTGCAGCTCATCCACTTCCTGTTCACATTAATGGTCAATGGTAGGAAATTTTCGTAACATTTTTCTCAGAAACTACTAATCACAGCCTCTTGATATTTGGCATACAGCATTGACAGCATTCGATTTTAGGTGTGTAGCTAATCCACTACCTAATTACCTACTGAATTAAATTTTCGACATTAATGGGTCAATGGAAAATTTTTTTCGTAACATCACAGCCTCATGATATTTGGTGTACAAATGCAACCCGGCCTTTTCTGTCTTTGACCCATTTTTCACAAAATGCTCATGGGGTAATGGCTTTATAAGTGAACAGTTCCAAACCATGACATACTTCTCCGCTACATTGAAATTGGTCATCGAATTTCTCAGTGTTACGTAGCAATGTCTACATGCAGTCATGGCTTCACCTTGGGTGCCAAATGTCAAAGGGTGAAAAAATGTGAAACCTGACCGAGATTCTAACCCAGGACCTTCTGACTACTCTTATGTGCCTCTATCTACTCAGAGCTATCAGGTCGTTTAAACACAATCTCCCCTAATTAGTCAACATTTCTAAACCGTAAAATGGCCAAAATATATTAGTGTGTTAACATCTGTGTATAAACCAAGAAACATGAAATAATGTTTTGAATTATGTGTCTCATATTTAAATAAATGTTTTTATTGGTTTTGATGATTTACAATTTTGGTTTCAAAGCATTTATAATGATATCTTGTTATACCTACAGAATGTGTGGAAATTGTTATGAAAAGTAAAAAAAAAACTGTTTAAAGTTTGTTTTTTTATTGTTAGTGTTAGGAATATGTTGATTTCTTGCTACACTAATTTACAAAGTTGTGCTGCCTGTCAAGAATTTAAACTTGTTGCTGACCAACTTTAAATTTTCAACTTCATAATTATACCCAAAGTTGGTAAAGTGGACATTTCCAAAAGAGGAAGCATGACAAGTATATTTATGATGTTCCGTAGGATAAGTTTAACTTATAACAAAATGTTTCAGGGACCAGTTGTGACAGATAATGGAAACTTTATATTGGACTGGGTATTTGATAAACCTGGCAACTGGCAAGAAATAAACACAAAGTTGAAAATGATACCAGGTAGGGTGATTATCATATTCTTCAAAATCTAGACTCATACTTTAAAATAGGGTCGAGTGGTTCTGGTCGCAAACTTCAAACCACATGCCTCTTTCTGTTATGGGTTCGAGTCTTGCTAGGAACATTGAATTGTTTCATGAAGGGAAGCTATCCAGCTAGCTCAGTGGTTCTACTCGGGTGCCAGCTTGTGTCTGAAAGGGTATTTTCATTTACCTGTGAAGCTGGAAAGTTGCCATATTACCTTAACATTGTTGATGTAACTTAAAACACAATCATAGAGATAAAAATATGCTTTAAAGCTGCATGTCTCCATATGAGCAAAATGTTTCCAAAAAATTGAGCAACAAAAATCTAGAGAAGAATCACGGGGGAGGAAGTGTTACACGAAGGATGGAGTTCTTATGATTACTTGTTTGGAGTTCTTATGATAACTGTCACGGAGTTCCTGGAAAATGTTACGGCTTTCTGTGGAAAACTTTTCTATATACTTGGAGAACTCGCCTAAAAAATGCTTATTTTTAACTTTAAATGGGGAGTTTGAGGTGCTAAATTAAACTTTGATAATTAAGCTTGCCCTACATATTGTATTTTGTTTCAGAAAAAAATCTTTTAGTCCATATTTTGTCGCCTTGTTTTAAAAAATCTGCAAGTTTTGAGAAAAATTACCAAATTACTTGCTAATTCGTACATATTGACCTTTTCATTTGTGATCTTCTTCGTTGCTATACTTAATTACCTAATTATTATGGAGAGTTGCAAACATAAAGCCCGGGCTAATAAATTTATACCCGATTTTTCAAATGTTACGGAGTTCTTGCGATAACTCAAAATATGTCCTGGAGTTCTTATGATAACTTTTGTTACTGCCAGTGTGTTTTTGTGCTTAATCACGGCGCGTTTAAGCGTATTTTATTAGACAATAAGTGTGTAAATTATTATGAAGCATAGTACGCTTATCATTTGCACAAAAATTTGGTTATATAACGTTGGTTTTGATCGTGTTTTTCAGTTCAAGAGATATTTTTCTTAGCTCCGTTTCTTGTGTTTTTTGTGTTTGTTTTGGTCTTTTTGTGTGTGTGTTTTTTTATATTTTATTGGAATGACTGTAAACATACTTGATGTAGAGCATTTACTTACAGGATAAAAATACGCTTTGAATCATGATTTCGTCATATATACATTATTCCTGGCAGTTTTAGAGAACATTAAGTAACTATGCTATCGGTATGCATGTAAATGGTTTTCAGCAAAATAGGAGGTAGTATGCACTACCTTTATCTAAATTTAATGAGGTGGGTGTCGTCTTTATGTTTCAACGGGTATTTCAATTTCTAAAAGGTATCAGTTTTTGTCATAGAAACGTATAAAGTTCTATGACAATGATCACGGTGCATATCCATATCGGTACCCTCTTTGCGAAATCTGCTCAAACGGTACCCTCTTCGAACATGCACATGTCATTCTCTGCTAAAAACAAACCAGCGATGGATAACAATCCAGTAAAATTTCATTGTAATAAGGAAAGGAGGTATGACACGTAGCAAAGATGTATACCACGGAACACTACAATGTTTTATTTATGTGCTGATTTGTCATGTGCACGTTTTTCATGTACTGCAAATTCACAATAAGCTTAAAAAAATCGACATGTCTTGCCTCGCCCATCACATCAACATATTTTTTTCGGGCTGAAATGAACCTATGGCTTGATTATATATGCATCACACATATTTAATATGTTCATATATATATATCATCTTCGGACAAATGGCAGTATATATTGTCAAAATTAAATGAAAAATTCATAATTTAAACACCCTACTTTCGCCTACTTTCGGTTTTGCAGCATCACAGGCTACCTCTCTTCATTTGAATTTTTATATCACAGGTACCCTCTCATTTTTGAACACATAGGTACCCTCAAAGCACGAGATATGCTTTTATTTGCGTTAATCGTTAAGTATGTATGTACTATTTCTTACTTTTATATAAATATTACATACTTAGCGATTAACACATAAAAGTATATGTCGTGCTTTGAGGGTACCTATGTGTTAAAAAATGAGCTTGATTATATATGCATCACACATATTTAATATGTTCATATACATATCATCTTCGGACAAATGGCAGTATATATTGTCAAAAATAAATGAAAAATTCATAAAAACACCCTACTTTCGGTTTTGCAGCGGCACGGGCTACCTCTCTTCATTTGAATTTTCATATCACAGGTACCCTCTCATTTTTTAACACATAGGTACCCTCAAAGCACCTAACTTATCACTTTCACGCGTCGGACTAGTAATCTAAGGATTGCTGACCGCGTGCGTTCAACCCTGACATGGGCAAGCCCTTGTTTCCTTGAGCAAAAAACTTTACACTCATTGCTTAGTACTGGTTGGTTTCAGGAACAGATTCGAGAGTGTTTCAATAAAAGCTTATAGCTTCCAACACAATCGAACTAAAATAAATTTATATAAACTAAAAATAACAAACGTACCTGATGAAGGAAAAAAAAACTAAAAACAAACAACAACAAACTCCGTCCTACCTTTGAAAGAATGTTAACTGGATCCCGCTATATGTTTATAATGTCACTTGTTGCTATTGTAGTTAATTTGATTCCTTTGTTTTTTCCAAATTGCACATAAAATATACTGATACCTGTACGAAATTTTGGCACGGATTCTGGGCGGAATTGGCACGGAATTGACACGGAATCAGTGATTTCTGGGCGGACCAGGAACGGAAACGCAAATTCCGTGTCATTCCGTCTCACAAGAAAAATATTTTGTTCACTTTTCTGGGCGGAAAACTAGAAAAATTCCGGCTGGAATTTTATTTGGAGCAGAATTTATACTTAAACATTTCATCTTGGACAGAATTTTCAACTTTGAAATTTTCTTGGGAAGGAATGGTCTTCACTATGGGCGGTTCTATTCTTAAACATTTTTCTTGAACAGAATTTCACATACATGTATAAGATGTCTAAATCATAATTGTTAACTCTTGTTTTTGCACTTGCAGACATTGAAATTTTACCAACTGTACTTATTATTTTTGTTGAAGCATGATACTTGACCAATAATTACAGGTGTATTTTTAGAATAAATAGGGTTATTTTTTAGACATTAAAATATACCTTGAAACAATGTTTTTAAATATTGTGGCAAATGATATATTGTCAGACTAATTTAGCAAATCTTTTTTGTACTGAAAAACAACTGTAATAATCTTAGTGTAGAACTTGAAAACATTCACCTCCAAAATGCTTAAGTTTATAAAAAGCAACATTGAAATAAGAATGCTGTTTAAATTTGAATATCAGGACAGCCACAGGACAAGATAGTGTGCTTGCCATTTTAAACTCTAAGAAATCATGATTTTGTTATAAAAAAATAAACAAAAACAAAACAAAAACATTGCATGAAATAATCTCATATAGTATGCCCTTTTAATCTATATAGAATTGACCAGCCAATACTGCCCAATAATTGCTTTCATTTAGGTAAATAATTACTACAATATACATCCACTGAGATTTTACACTACACAGATCAGAGCTCTGATAAAACTCAACTGACCGGCAGTTTCCCACCATCTTAAACTCTTTGCATGACTGGTCATTCCAACAGATCAGGCTGTTCCATTGAATTATTTTGGGGAGAGATAACATTATAAATTTCATATGCAGAATTTGTCTAGGACATTGCAATTTTTTTTTTGTTCAGAAATTTGTAATGATTTTTAAATTCTATATCTATATCTATTTGTTACTTGAATTTTTGTTACATTCAATGAATGGAGGTTGAGATGATGAGTAAATTAACCCTGTTTTACATAATGATTGACCTGTCCATGCAGTTATACAGTTGTGAATTTTGAATTCTAAGATATCTGGGTCAGCAAAAAGAGTGCTATTAACAGAGGATGTACTTGATATTTTAACAATTTTGGAGATATACTTTTGTTTAAGATCTCAAAGTGTTTTAGTATTGGTATGATAAATAAGTGTGAAAACATGGGACAAGGAGATGAACAACATAATCAGGTAATCATAAACCTTTAGTTACATTAATGCTGAAACAAGTTTTATATCAAACTATCAATGGTAGCAAACTAAAATTTGTAACAAGAGGTCAATGTTGTTTTTATATTTTCAACTTCATACATTTGTTTTTTTCTGATAATTGTTTTAAATCTTTATTACATGTTTAATGACTGTAAAATATAAATTATTCAATGATTCTATATAATGATTGTGTGTATTGTATAAATTAATAGCATGTAGTAGATCTTTTTCATTTCCTGGAAATTAAACAAATTAAGTCAATTTGATTAAATAGGAATAAATGGTACAAATTCAGAAGTTTTGTACAGCTGAACAGGGTCATCATAATCATTTATTATTTTACATGTATGTGAACGTGTTTTCAATGGAACAATCTAAAATTACATTTTACACTCATAATTTCAGACTGGGAGTTAAGTGCTGACTGTGAGATGCAAGGTGTTTCAATAAAGATGTGCAGTATTAATCCTGAAAAGGTATATTTTTAAATCTCAATACTTTACTATTCAACATCTTTCCTTGAAAAAATACATAACCAGATTACCAGTAATAAAAAGTGTCACAAATAAAGCAGTTAATTAATTCTTATACAGAGCAATTCTTAAACACTTAGTGTGCACTGAAATAAGATACTGCGTAAGCTTTAGTATTTTTGAATATGCATAAGCACTGTTAATATTTAATACTGTTGAAACATAAAATTTGATATTATCAAAAAATATGAAATATAACTGCATATAATTATGCAATCAAACATAATTCATTACTACATTTTTGTTTAATTAATTATTAATTTTATTATTAAAGGTGAGCACAACCACAAGAAGTTCTTGGAAACACAGGCAGTGGACTTAAAACAGACATCAATTAAAGAAATAGTAATTTAAATAATCAGAAACATTTGAAACAAATTTATGATTGAAACACTCTCAGCAAAAAAATTGCAAAAAAACAAAGTGTTGGATTCTAAGAAAACCAGTACCTACCAAAACCTGCAGGTAGAAAAAAACTGTTTGTGTTATAGTGAATGTATGGTATTCTATTCTGTATTTGGACTAAAGGATATGTATTAAATTTTGTGAAAGAAAATTTAATGTGATACATTATTGATAATTTTATCCCAAAAAAATGTGATCATGTTAAACTCATAAAAATTCCGCCCCCATGAATTCTGTCCCAGAATTCCGCCCAGAATTTTGTTTGACAATTCCGTTCCAAAATTCCGTTCTGAAATTCCGCCCCGAGATTCCGCTTCAAAATTCCGCCCCAAGATTCCGCTTCAAAATTCCGCCCCAAGATTCCGCTTCAAAATTCCGCCCCAACTCATTTGCATATTTCGTCCCAATTCCGCCCAGAATCCGTCCCGTTTCCGCCTGGAATCCGGCCGGAATCCGTGCCAAAAGCAAATGGTTAACACTTGTATATTTGGGGGAGAATTTAAATTTCTGGGCGGAATCTGCCATTGAATTCCGCCTCATTTCCGTGCAGAAAATTTCGTACAGGTAGTTAACAATTTTCAAGTATTTATTCAGATGTTAATAATCTGGTAAAGAATAACATAATAGATTTATCCCTTTGCGGCAGAGGTATGCAGTAAATAAACTATATAAAATTTTACCTTTTGAACTTTCTAACCTCTTCCTTTTCAAAAAAGTGATAAGTGAGGTGCTTTGAGGGTACCTATGTGTTAAAAAATGAGAGGGTACCTGTGATATGAAAATTCAAATGAAGAGAGGTAGCCCGTGCCGCTGCAAAACCGAAAGTAGGGTGTTTTTATGAATTTTTCATTTATTTTTGACAATATATACTGCCATTTGTCCGAAGATGATATGTATATGAACATATTAAATATGTGTGATGCATATATAATCAAGCCATAGGTTCATTTCAGCCCGAAAATATGTCGATGTGATGGGCGAGGCAAGACATGTCGATTTTTTGTAGCTTATTGTGAATTGCAGTACATGAAAAAACGTACACATGACAAATCAGCACATAAATAAAACATTCTAGTGTTCCGTGGTATACATCTTTTCTACGTGTCATACCTCCTTTCCTTATTACAATGAAATTTTACTGGATTGTTATCCATCGCTGGTTTGTTTTTAGCAGAGAATGACCTGTGCATGTTCGAAGAGGGTACCGTTTGAGCAGATTTCGCAAAGAGGGTACCGATATGGATATGCACCGTGATCATTGTCATAGAACTTTATACGTTTCTATGACAAAAACTGATACCTTTTAGAAATTGAAATACCCGTTGAAACATAAAGACGACACCCACCTCATTAAATTTAGATAAAGGTAGTGCATACTACCTCCTATTTTGCTGAAAACCATTTACATGCATACCGATAGCATAGTTACTTAATGTTCTCTAAAATTGCCAGGAATAATGTATATATGACGAAATCATGATTCAAAGCGTATCTTTATCCTGTAAGTAAATGCTCTACATCAAGTATGTTTACAGTCATTCCAATAAAATATAAAACACACACACAAAAAAAGACCAAAACAAACACAAAAAAACACAAGAAACGGAGGAAAGAAAAATATCTCTTGAACTGAAAAACACGATCAAAACCAACGTTATATAACCAAATTTTTGTGCAAATGATAAGCGTACTATGCTTCATAATGATTTACACACTTATTGTCTAATAAAATACGTTTAAACGCGCCGTGATTAAGCACAAAAACACACTGGCAGTAACAAAAGTTATCATAAGAACTCCAGGACATATTTTGAGTTATCGCAAGAACTCCGTAACATTTGAAAAATCGGGTATAAATTTATTAGCCCGGGCTTTATGTTTGCAACTCTCCATAATAATTAGGTAATTAAGTATAGCAACGAAGAAGATCACAAATGAAAAGGTCAATATGTACGAATTAGCAAGTAATTTGGTAATTTTTCTCAAAACTTGCAGATTTTTTTAAAAAAGGCGACAAAATATGGACTAAAAGATTTTTTCTGAAACAAAATACAATATGTAGGGCAAGCTTAATTATCAAAGTTTAATTTAGCACCTCAAACTCCCCATTTAAAGTTAAAAATAAGCATTTTTTAGGCGAGTTCTCCAAGTATATAGAAAAGTTTTCCACAGAAAGCCGTAACATTTTCCAGGAACTCCGTGACAGTTATCATAAGAACTCCAAACAATTTATCATAAGAACTCCATCCTTCGTGTAACACTTCCTCCCCCGTGAGAATGTTCACCACGACTTTGACCACTAAAATCTTGTCCGACCAATAACTAAAAAACGCTATGGCCTTCTGTCCGAAGATAAGTGTGGTAGTTAGTCATGACCAGTAGCTGACTGACCCCAATTGATTTTGAGGATAGTTGGTCTAAGTGCCATGTCATAGTGACCTTAAGCAAAGATAAGTCTTGTATCAAGACTAAATGTTTTCCATTAGAGGGGCATATTCATGCATGTAACTTTTTTTACAAACATCTCTTGATTTCTATTCATAATATGGTAATGAACAAGTCTTAATATGCATTCAATTTTTGTTCTGCCATAATAGATAAATTCTATTTTCTCTGTGAATATACCAAGATTATTGTGCACTGTGATTCCTAATGAAAGGCATTAGTATAAAAAATATTAGAGTAGTAAAAGCGGAAATAAAACTTTTTATCGTATAGAAATGTGTGCAGACACGTTAATAACTGCGAGGAGGAAAGTGTCACAAATATGTGAGATGTAAATTAACTTTGTTAAGGAAAACTTGGCCATTAATGTGCACGTTTGTGTCAAAGAAAGATGTATTACCTTAAAATAAAATCTTCCCCTTATTATTTTAAAAGACAAGTCTGCACAAATTCTGTGTAATTTCTATAAAATGATAGGAATAACATTTTTTTTCTGTCAGACTGCAGGGTTTTCTGTCTCCTATTTAGATTTGTCTCAATTCACATATAAAATTTTGAAATTCCATCAATTTTAATATCATTCTTCAAGTATGTTTATGATACATTTAAGTAAGGCATTTTTTACCAAAAATAAATCTTATTTTCTTCTGCATGTTATCACTTATGCAGGGAGACAATATGATAGTTATTCATCCATCAAGCTTAATTTCAAGGAGAATGGGACATCTTTTAGTATGATTGTCTGCACACTTAGATCAAAAGCTTCAATGTAAGGTGTTTTTCTTATGTTTGTTTGATGGCACACCAACACAGTTTCAGTCAAATAGCACAGAAACAGGAAAGATGATTTTGGCTAACCTTGGGTGTTTTGAGCTTAATTTTTAAGTGAAAGATCATGCAAATATATTGTCAAAAAAAATCAAATTAAGGTCTTTCGTTGGAACAAAAAAAAAAGGGACAAAATCTAGACAAAAACATTTTATTCATCATTTTTAGCGAAAATTTTAAAATATATTCTGACTGAATATCGAACAAGGCATGGATTTCCCAGCTGATCTTGGTCTGTACTGGTCACATGGGGTGAACCTGTAGTTGAATGGTTGACCTCCTAATTTTCTTGCATATCAGACAGGATATTCTTGCATATCAGACTGGCGTTTCCGTGAGATTTACCCATACCGGAAATTTCATCTGGCATGGGGGTGACAGATGAGTCACGTGCTGTACAACGGCATGCTTAGGATGTTATGAATGAAGTTGCAATTCATACGCTGTTGTACGAAAGTAGTTACGGTTGTAATGATATAAATTTCCATTGATATTCAGGATAAAGTATTAAAAATATACTGGAATATGGAAGAATAAGCAAGAAAAAAATATCTGACATATGTTTGCAGTTGGGATTGGAATATCCGTCCCTCAGTCGACCGCCCATGGGCAGTAACTGGGCAAGCCTTGTTACCGCCCAAAGGGCTGGTCACCTCGGGACAGATTTTCCGATCCTAACTTCAAAATATGACAGATATTATTAATCTACTGTTTGTATCGGTGCTAGAAAAACCTGTCTTATACCTCCTTGCAAGACAAGTTGTCAATTTTATATTATGTCATTCCTACACGCTTTTTATGAATGAATTGCTTTGTTAGGGTGACATTTTGCCATTATGAATGAAGTTTTAAATTCATACGCTACAGTTAGAAAAAAGTACTTAATGAAAATACTAGTTTTTGCAAATTTTTCTGAAATATAGTTAATACATGTATGTATGTAATATTCCAGAAGAAGAATCAAACACACTGGCAGTTATCAATGACAGGAATATCTAGCTCTCTGGTTTTAACTGTTCAGTGGAAACTTGGCACAGCCTTGTTACCCCCAGAGCAGTCACCGGAAACAGTTACCTGAGAGCTAGATATTTCAGTCTGTTCTTCCAGCCTTTGTAAGATCCTTATAGTATGAAATAATAAAGCAAACTTTTTTAATTTGTCTTTATGTTAGGTGTGGTAGAGACAGGCTTGTTTGTAAACATGGCCAAGAAAGCATACTTTGGACAGCCAGACGGATCTGTGTTGATGAGGTAGGCAGTGAAGAAACCGGAAAAGTTGCTGCCATACAGTGTTAAATCACTTCTTTACTGTGTTCACATATATTTTTGACAGTGTTTCTATACACATAAGCTATATGTATTCAAGATTTGCTCTTTTTTTTCATATCACAAATCAAATTCATTGTATATTTTTTGACTGTGGAAAGTTTCTGATACATGTTTTGTGTGTATTAAGTTTCTGAAAAGTATTTTTTTGTGTAAAGTTTGTGAAAAATATTTTTTGGTAAAGTTTCTGAAAAATATTTTTTGTGTAAAGTTTGTAAAAAATATTTTTTGTGTTAACTTTCTGATTAACATTTTGTGAAAAGTTTCTGAAAAACATTTGTTGTGTAAAGTTTTGTCTGATGTTAAAGAATATTGTACATATTTCTAGTTTTGATATTTACTAAGACTGCAGGTAGCAGCATTTATTCCTTTGTACTTTATGTGAATTAGAATTATAAGGTACACATTCTCTGTTATTTTTAGAAATCACCGGAAGAGGTGTCAGCTAAGGGTTCGAAATAAAACAAAAAAGCACTGAATATTTTTTCACAAATGCATTGATTTTACAGCAAGCATTTTCAGTATTACATTGAAAGAATATTGAAAGAATATCACCCTGGTTATAATCTCTTTGTTATCTGGTTTGTGCTGTGCTCGTACATTATTTATGAATGAGTAAACCAAAATGAATGGTTACTTGCCTGATAAACTACAATCCTAACATATATATGGTTTCGTATAAAGTTGTTAAAACTTCGCACTGCCCATTTAGCGTTGGACTATTAATCAGATGACCTTGGTTAGATTCCCAGACGGTGCTGGACAATCTTCCTAAAACCAATCATACAAAATCAGCTAGTTTCAACATTGTTGCATTAATATATAATATCTTTTTTTTAAAACAAAATTGACATGCATTTATTGTTGTTAGTATTACAAGTGTATTTGTTATTGTCTACAATTCTTAAGATGAAATGAAAGACAATTTGTATGTAAAGAATGTATTTTTGGGACCATCAGATGTATTTAGACAGATATTTGTGACACCAGATACGTATGATATTAATTAATATGTTGTAATAAACGTGTGCTATAAATCACATATTGCTTTCAAAAGCATAGCATTTAAAGGGACTGCACTGACATTTTTGACATGGCAATGCTTAAAATAAATTTTCGAGATTTATATGTACCATTTCATGAAGATCTAGACCAATAACTTGTTTGCAAAACTCAGATCATTCACTTTTTCCAGAATAATTATTCTAATTGTGAAAAATGACCAAAAATTGAAAAGTGTTGCAACGTTTTCACACAAATCAGACTAATAATAGCACTAAAGTACAATTTTCAATATATTTCCGACTATATTTCGTAATTATTTTTTAATCATTTTCTGATTTAAGTGTCCCAGAATTTGAAATTTTATGATTTAGGCCTTTGGACCTCAGTGGAGTTTCTTTAAGGTCACATTTTGTATGTGAATTGCTGGCTATATTTAATAGAGATCAAATATATTATTTTAAAACAAGGACATTTTTATGTTAATGATAACAAGATTGTGTAGACATACATGGCCCTCACCGCTGTTGGTTCGAATCCAGACAGGGACTTTGGATTCTTTCATGTGAGGAAGCTATCCAGCTAGCTTACGGAACGTCGGTGGTTCTACTCAGGTGCCCGTTTGTGCCTAAAATAATGGAAAGTAAAGCTGGAACGTCGCCATATGACCTATAATGCGTCTGTGTGACGTAAAACCCACTTAGACAAACAAACAAACATACATGCCATAACGTCCCAGATGACCGGGAATGTCCCAGAAATGAGGTGACTGTCCCGAGACGCCATACTCTGTAGATTTTAATCCCTGACTGCTGGAAATCAAAAGTGGTTATTCTTTCCTTCTTGTATTAAATTTCAATATAAAAACCCTTACATTCGGAATGGAATGTTATAGATTAAAATTGGGGCAATTAAATTACACAAATTCAGCAAGTTATGTGTTAAAGCATATAACTTTACTGATCTTCAACCACTTGCACTATCTTAAACTGTGTGTTCATGCTCCTCAAAATATATTCCTGTAATCAGTATTGTACAGTTCAGTGTTAAATAACCAGTAATCATATTATATGTATATTATATTATAACAAAAATCTGCCTCTTAATTAACCAGAACAATAGATGTGTATGTTTATATTTTGTTGTGATGTGAAAATATCTAAATTATATAAAACTTGTGTTTATTTAAAGAATCTCATGTTAAGATTTTTCAACTTGACAAAACAGACTATAGAGAATAGAGAAACTTATACAGTCCTTGTTTGAATAGATTGTATGATTCGAAAACAAGGTTCAAGGTCAATCAGTTTAATTCTGTAAACCAGAGGTTGCTGGTTTGATCCTTAGAGAGGGTATAATTTCACTACAGTAACTAGAATTGATCTTGAACATTGAATCTAATAGTCATTTGTCATGTGCAGTTAGAAGTCTGTCATTTGTGGAGAGATTGGTAATTACTGTTTAGTTATCCACAAAAGGAGAAATTGGTAATTACTGGTTAGTTATCCAGAAAAGGAGAGATTGATAATTACTGGAAGGAGAGAGTGGTAATTACTGGTTAGTTATCCAGAAAAGAAGAGATTGGTAATTACTGGTTAGTTATCCAGAAAAGGAGAGATTGGTAATTACTGGTTAGTTATCCAGAAAAAGAGATTTGTATTTACTGGTTAGTTATCACGATAAGGAGATATTGGTAATTACTGGTTAGTCATCCAGAAAAGGAGAGATTGGTATATACTGGTTAGTTATCCAGAAAAGGAGAGATTGGTAATTACTGGTAAGTTATCCAGAAAAGGAGATATTGGTATTTACTGGTTAGTTATCCAGAAAAGGAGAGATTGGTATTTACTGGTTAGTTATCCAGATAAGGAGATATTGGTAATTACTGGTTAGTTATCCAGAAAAGGAGAGATTGGTAATTACTGGTTAGTTTTCCAGAAAAGGAGAGATTGGTATTTACTGGTTATTATCCAGAAAAGGAGAGATCGGTTATTACTGGTTAGTTATCCAGAAAAGGAGAGATTGGTATTTACTGGTTAGTTATCCAGAAAAGGAGAGATTGGTAATTACTGGTTAGTTATCCAGAAAAGCCGGATAGCTGCACAGACTGGTGAGGTATTACAAAAAATGTATCATAATTTTTTTAAATTAATGATATAAATGTAGTACATGATTAATCCATCTTGAATAGAACATTCTAATTCTGAAGCGAATTAAATGTTAGAAGTTATTCATACCAGTATAGAGTGACGTAAACAATGAGGGTATATACGGAACTAATTGAAATTGCTACGCCTATGGTGTTTAGATTCTTCTTTTTTTTCTGAGATCTGTTGTGTTAAAAGTTAGTTTGTTAGATTTTTTGACTACCTCACAAACATGTTTCTTAAATGTTAGATAGGGTGAATTTGTTTTTAGAAAATAGATGTTTCTGTTTTGATTTCAAGTTCAACCAGTTTGTAGATTATAGAAATTTTATTAAAACAGCTTGATTGTATAGTCAACAATTTGACTGTCTGTCTTTCATTATGTCCTGCCTTTTGTCAAGTTCATGTGTTCATACCTTTCTTTACATTATCTTCATTTACTCGGAAAATGAAATTAAATTTGGCCGCGTGGGTTGTTCGGACCCTGTCAAGGGCAAGCTTTTGTTTCCTTGAGCAAGAAACGTTACATTCATTGCTTTAGTACTGGTTGGCTCCAGGAACGGATACGAGAGTGTTTCAATAAGCCTTGTGTAGCTTCCAAGACAATCTAACTAAAATAAAGTCACGTAAACTTAATCGAATGGAATAGTATTGTCTGTCCGCCTGCTTTAGCAGTCGAGATGAAATTTGTTTAACACCGGGATCAATGAGTTAATGCAATTTCTTTAGATCAAAAAGGAGAGCATTGAATTTGTTATGAAAGGGCCGCTCACAAGAGCGAGGGGAAATGTCTGGGACAGTTTATCTTGGCCATTGAGTTTAATGGTCATTTGTCTCTCACCCTTTATTTAGACATTATGTGGATTCAGTCGGTCATTATTTCTTCTTTTTTTTGGGGGGGGGGTGGGGGATGGGGTAATGTTATTTTCTGGCAGGCATTGGTTTTTCCAGTTATTAGTTAGTTATCCCGGAAAGCCAGAACGATGGATGTACATGCTGCAGAGATATGACCAAATATATGTTAAAATCAGTGTAAAAATCAACATAACAAACAGACTGTCAGTGTGGTTGGGTTAAACAAAGGAGTTGTTAAATACATTTTATGAAAGTGCAATATTGCAGGGATACCTACATGTATTCTGCCGTGTGGATCAAAGGGAATGACGCTTAGCTAAATCTATAAAATCTGAAATATGCCCATGAGTTAGAGTTATTGCCCTTAATAACTTAAAAGGACTGCACTGAGGTGTAAAAGCATACGGACATTAAATTTGAATTTCTTACATAAATGAGCTGGGACAATTAAAACAAACAAAAAGTTATGAAAAAGATGATAGCTGAAGATCGTACATGTATTTTTGTACTTTTCTCAGGCCCATTTTAATCCACGTGTATTTTTAATTTACAGATGGCCCTTTCTGAAATAAAAATCAAACTTTGTTTGAAAGGACATTTAACATAACGTAATATTTGTCTTGTAGATTTTAATAGGCCTTTTCATGAAATATGTATTTCTATAACAACATTACTCACATGTTGACTCGTATGTGAAGTACGGCCCATCGTCACTTAGAAAATTGCCACTTTTCAAAAAACATTTCATTCGTATAACTGGTTAGATGTCGACTACATACATTTAACAATTTATCAAGGATTAAAGTTGGTAACCTCACTAATTTGTTTATTTTTCTCCTTCATAGTTATGAATATAGATGATATCTTCAGATATTTCCCGGTTATTATCAAGTTCATACAGTTATTTCCCGGTTATTAATAAGAATTGATGGACAGTAATTGAAATACTTCATTTCGAATAAATTAACGTATTTCATGACTGTCCTGTTACTGAATTGATTAAATTTTTTATTATGATAAGTGTTCATAAAGTAGAATTAAATCTTTTCATTCACAATCAAACAACATTTTTTTATAATCGAAATGTTTCAAATGAATTGTGCACAACCATAACGGAAATAAACACTTTGACTTCATTATCTTTAATTCTTCAATTATTGCATTGCATTACAGAAAAGATGTATTAAACTATTCCAAGAGGAATTCCAATTAATTAATTGGAATTGCAATCTAAAATTACTTTTGTAAACACATATTTTTTAAATTCAAAGCATTTTAATATTGATGAATACTACCATCAGTCAGCTACCGAGACAAAATTTAACTTCGATTACTTCCAGTAAATTAGCTTCACAACTTATCGCATCTTCTCGGCCCTTTCCGTCAAACTTCGGATAATTTTCAATAATAGCCGGGGAGTTCCAATTGAGTCAACAGTACCAATACTACCACTACTGTTACCACAATTGTTGTCATCCATCCACCCACCCTTCCATTCATCAATCCATCTGTTATGTTTCCGTGGATAGACATGATACCAGTATATAGAAAAGGAATTCCTTAAATCGAAACGATGGGCGTTCATTTAATGAGATGTAGTTATATACCATTGAGGTATTCACCCTTATAATATACACAATTTCAGATTATTCGCTCAATCATTTTTGAGACGCCTCTGCATAGTAGCGATCAGTTCTCCGTTGTCTGTCTGTCTGTCCTTTCGTTTGTCACACTTAAATTGTCCGGACTACTCCTGAAACTATTGGTGCAGTTTCATCCAAACATTACAGGGATGATGAGTACCATGTGTGTGTCTAGTTTTATTTATACTGGGCGCCAGTTTCCCATATGCCCCAGACTATCGGCCTCTGTTACGTCGCTGGTCGTAGAGCCTGCAACGGAGGACTTAGTTCGCCTGCAACGTCGCTGATCGTAGAGCCGCAACGGAGGTCTTCTCATGCCGTCTTTCGTCGTAGATCTTCTCTAGGACCCAGTTCCTCGCTTCCTGAACGCGGTAGACAATATTGAGGAAAGGCACCTCTTCCGGGAGCAGCAGCCACACCCTTCGCCGTTGGTTAGGTCACACCAGCTAAGTGACCTAACTAGGTCACCCATCTGGTGTGACCTATGCCTTCCGAGCGACGTGCACGCCACGAAGGGCAATCGGAAGATGATCAGTACCAAGTTTAGTTGTACATATCATCGGCATGTTCTGGTTCAATACTTTTTGTCAGAGTTATGGCCCTTTAATGACCATTACTTTTAAAATTTATCCGGACTACTCCTCTAATACCACTTAAGCAATTTCAATGAAACTTTACAGGATTGATCGGTAGCTTAAGTACTTGCACATGTTACACGTGTTTTCTAGTTGAATGATTTTTGGTTGCGTAATGACCCTTGAATACAAATCGTGTTTTGCCCTGTTAATGATTTTTGTGTCTCCTGCTACACAGTAGCTGTAACATGCAATTGTCTATCATAAGGCGACACATATGATCACCGATCGCTCTTGTTTTCAAAATGATTATTCTAATTGCAACTATTTCATTCAAATCGGACGAATAGTACCACAAAAGTACAATTTTCAATTTATTTCTGAGTATGTTTCTTAATTATCCTAATTATTTTTGATTTAAGTGCTAATATTTGTAAGAAATTTAAGATCATGTTTTAGGCGTACGTGAAATATGAGCCCCCTAAAAAATAACTGCTTGCTCTCACAACTGGAGATACCAGCCAGTTAAAAGAAGGCCGGAAACTCAAGATTCGAGACTACCAGCAAGGGGTTCATTTCCCGGGACAGTGTGAAAACAATTGTCCAGATAATAATTTTTGTTGTTTTTTTTCTCTCACTATTTCAATTTTGTATTATGCTTCAAAATAAGACCGACCCCAACTTATAGTACATTTTTAAGGGGGTTCATATTTCACGTTTTTTTGACACATTTAAGATGAACACAGAGGTTTTTTTTATCAATGTGGTCATAGTTTCTTCCCATGTCCGATACTCGTGCCTGTGGCCAGACCTTGAGTTATTATAGCCAATTGAATCATAGTTCTAGAAGAACATGTATGTAGATTTCACTAACCCTAACCCTATCCTATCATTTTCTCCTTGATTTATAAATTTTGTTTGTAAGGGACCATTTGAAAGCCTTTTTTTGAAAAGTTTGGTAGTATTATAAATGACAATGTTAAATGATGAATTTTGTGTGACCATCAATATTTCCTTCAGTCTGTCATTTTTATGTACATTGTTCTAAGTACTGAAATCTAATGCAGCATCACACTCCTTTCTAACTTGATGTCCCGTGTTCTCTTGAGGTTTTATTTCTTAATGTTTTCAGAAGTTAAAACATTATTATATTTTCTCTCGTGTCTGCTAGTGTGTTAGTAATAACAAATTTAGATAACCCAGTCTATTTTTATAAATGGAATATTTCTGACAGAACACATCTTAATCCAATTCTGTTCCGAAATTATATACACTCTTTCTTCCGGGAATATATGCCGTTCCGTCACTCCCCCACGCGAGATGTGACATTTCAGAGGGTTTTTTTTATTTCCCAGAAATATACAGGGAAGAACTTGTCATTGAATCAGTAGTTAAATTATGTTATCATACGTTTTGTATACGAAAATATTAAAATAGATCATTTTTTTTTCGAAATCCATTTATTTTGAAACATAAACTTTTTTAAGGTAGTCAGTATTGTTTTCTATACATATATGATAAAAAGTTATATTGCAGCTATAATCTGAATTTTTGGTTTGAAAAGTGAACAAAAAAAATGCTTCGATATCTCAAAAAGCAGCAAACGTCCAAAAGATAAGATCTCTTTCGAGACACATCTTTGTCCAATCAAAAATTTGGAAAGGAATAAGCCTTCATTTGTGAGACTTTGTAGGTTGGCGAATTGCTCGTGGCAAGTCTGTAAGCCAAAGGTCAAAGTGCCACTTGTGTACAACCCTTTCTCGTCAATAACTCGGTCTGGTTGTTTCCTTTACTTTTCAAATGGGTCCAATAATTTTAATATTGTACATCTTAATTGCAGCGCATACACGCATTCTAAGGGCGTATAATGCTCCCTCACGCGGAGCTCTTATGTAAATATACTTAAAATAATGATATGCATTTTTGAAATACAATGTACTACAAAAATATATCAGCAATACGTTGATAAAATAAAACATATAAATGTACTCCATGAATGCATTAGCCGTCAAAGAAGCAATGACACCGGCGTAACTTAAGTATAGTAATTGATTTTTTCCAAATTTATTCAGTAAGTTTTAGACATATTAGTTTGTATAATGATTACTCTATCTTTTTATTCTTTCTTTCCAGCTAATAATGGATGCAAATTCGATTCTTCAATCACATTGTATGCAAATGAAATGAGACAAGCTTGCTAATGTAGTTGATTGTTTAACATTTTTTTCTATGTAAATGGATGTACTGTTATATAGACAGTGCAACAAGTTCACAGCAAATTTTTGTA